GTTATGGAATTCTCTTCCAAACAACATGAGATTGTTGCACGAATTAAGTAAATTTAAATCGGAAATTTCCAAAGTCAAATTTGATATTGACTGTTGTACCTTTTGTAGAGGATAATTCTATTTTAATTTTATTTTACATATATACATATATTTATTTAATTGTTTACATCCATATTTTTATATTAGCATCATGTAATTTTAATTTTTAGTTTAGGTTATTTATAACTTGGAGATATTAGCATGTACTTGCTATCTTGTAATTCAAGTATAAATAAAGTTATTGTATTGTATTGTATTGTGAATTCATGAATGAGCGATAATATCACGTCAAGTATATACAGTATACCGGGCGCAACAAGTTTGAGAAATTGATGACACATCTATTCGTACAATCTGTTCAGATCTTTTCAAAAAGACCTTTTCTATGGGTTAAAGGTCTTGTTTTCTAAGATAAGCTTTCGCTAGAAGCAAAACACGGCATTAAAATTTGAAAAACATTGCATATTTTGGCACTACACGGGCTTACCCATAAAATCCCGCCTCGATACTGGGTGTTCTAAGAAGCATGGGAAAAAAATCTCCATGTTCACTTCAATCTCCGACCCCTCTAGTAAATGTAGGTCTTCTAGTTCATGCGAACTCGCTGCGCCCGATCTCCTTCTCGATTCAACCAAGTTTAAATCTCTTCTACGAAATTTGATCGGCTTTGATATTAAACTATTTACCATATATGGTAAATAGTTTAATATTAACTCGCAACAATCTTCGCGCATGACATCTAGCATACATTGCTAATTCGGGCATTTGAAACAGCCGTGACTTGTGCTATCGTTCTTTCTTTTTTCCCCTTGCGTCGAACCTAAGAAGCAAGATTTTTTATTCGTAATACTTTCATGTATCTCATTTTTATATTCTTATAGGAAAGAATTCTCGTGGCCACCACGTGATATATGTTGACCCAATGAAAGCACCACAGAGTCACGTGGTTGGCGATCATGATACTTTTCTAAGACAGTTGGATAATCTTCTAACGTAAGTTTCTGGATTTTGTGTCTAGAAAATCAACATCTCTCGCTGTAAGGACCTAGCTCTTTCGTGAGGTTTACTCCACAATCACTAGAGTGCATTCAGTCAAATTGTTGAATAATTGACGCCACCTAAATTAGATAAGTTAGTTACTATTTTAGCTGACCTCACATAAATTTGAAACTACGAGTAAACCGCTACTGAGATCGGAGGGAGAAACGATGATACAAATGAATGCCTATTCACTCATTCTCTGGTGAAACAAACCCCCCGGATTAGCCTGACCGTTATTTGGCGCGCTTTTACTATTTTAGGTGACGTCAACTAAATAGTTATCTAAGTTAGATACATTTATCCAACTATTCAACAGTTTGACTGAATGCACTCTACCACCATATTTACTATATTTACGACTGACACGCGACACTCAACTCACATGTTGATTTCCGGGTCAGTCGAGAACCCGCGACCCCAGGCTTGCTGACTACACAGCATTAAGAGACAGCGCATGACATCAATAATACCAATTGAAAAGTTCCACAGATCTGCTGAAACTGTCAAATACTTATACCCATAAACATATTTACTTATTTCCAAGGTTCACCGATGCTTTCATAGCAGAGAACACCAATGGCAGCCACTTTATTTTGGTGTACCGCTGTCTCGATGTATCACAGTCTCACAGCATGAAACTCAAGTGGATGACCAAGCTCTATGGCAGCTTGCGCGATAGGTTAGCCTAGATTTCATTGAATTTCTTCTTATTTCTGTATGCGTCATAAGTTTTATCCTAATTTAAATCTTAGAGTGCACTCCATATATCCTTGAAACTATACTATTTTCACTGGACCCACTGGTGCGAATATATAAACAACCTATTAGCATATCTGATCACTTGTCTTCACTTCTAAGTCAGTACGAGGTATATTGAGTATATGAACTGTACAGCCTGTAGCAATAGTCGATGGACACCTAAAAATGCATATCTAAAAAGAAAACTTTTGCGCACAAATGATTCATATCTACAGATATCTCGGAAAGCTTGAAAAACTCATTTTCTACAAACCAGAGATGAAGCTAAAAGCCTTGGTCAAAATATGTAAACCTTTTATGAGGTAAACTATGTACTTATTTCTAAAGCTTCTTTCTACCTTGAATTTACTCAGTGAGTCTAAATTTTCTTTTATTCACTTAACAGACGAGAGCTGTCCAGTAAACTTGTGGTCGTCACAGACCCTGTATCTTTGGCAAGAGAGCAATGTAAGTAATTTTTGTCCATCTTTCTTTTTTACGACTTGTCAGAGTCGAATATTATTAAGTTAAGATCGGCCTATCCGTGGTTGCGCGGAAAACTGGTAACGAGTACTGAGGACTGAATTGTTGGGTGCTTTAGCGAACGCCAATTGTCTTTTTCGTTTTACAGGTTTTTGAATCGAGTCATTTACTTTGATTTTCTGTCTGTTTTTCAAGAGAGTTTGCCAAGTTTTCTGCACTATTGGAAAAATGGCGACCACTAAGACAGCCCCATGATTCAGCGCGCGTCACACTCGTTACCAGTTTTTCGCGCAAGCTCGAAAAAGACATTATCATAACACAATATCCTTAGTCTTGATTTCGTGTTTTTATCTTCTTTTTTTTTGTTCATTATCGAAGATCTACCGCAGGTCATTCAGGATGAATAAGTTACGTCAGGGAGACTACGCCTTCAGGCCCAGTCGGTTAACCATCAGTTACTATGTTTTTCAGTAAGATTTAAAAACCTGTTTATATAATAAACCAATCGACGTTTTGTCTAAGATAGATGCCATTAATAGTTATAAGTCAGATATATTATATAAGTCAAATGCTGCAATCCTATTTATTCTCACATTGCCGCTGTTCACTGTCCTCCAATCAATGTTTCTTTGCACAGTTCTTGTACATGTTCATAGCCTTCGTTCAGTTTTACTTTACATTTTAGAGATTATAACCGTGTAGAAGTGGTACATGGACCGCATGATTGAGGGGAAGAGATTCTTACACACGGGACAATTGTTACGGCACGTAAACACGAAATTGCGCCGTATGTCCAACTTCGGTTGCGCGCAGCATATTTGACACTAAAAACGGATGCGAGGGAGACTAGCGACAATGCTGACCTAATGCTCTCCGCCAGTGAAGCGCAATTTTTTTTCGAAAAACAGTGGTGTCTACAAGTGTCTTTATAGCTGTCAACGCTTCTACCAGTAGAAAACCTCAATTGGTCCGTGTGATGAAGTCTCGTTATTTTAAACCACTTTTTGACTGCCTAATATTTAAATCGAGTATAGGACTGCTTTTCATTCAAGCTAGGGGTTGTATATGGCACGATTATCTTTTACCAGAAGCCGAAGTATAGAACAAATGCGTGCTGCGAAAGATGAACAGAATTTTAAAAAGTAGTGTTTCTAATTTTCTAATATTAGCAGTATATTGTACAACTTAGATGTAAAACCAAGCGGTTTATTTATTTATTTATTTTTTTTTTTTTTGCTTTATTTACCTTTCAAGCCTTTATGCTCAATACATTCTGGGTGTTGAAAGTAATCATCTTTCTTTGCTCTACGAATCCTCCAAAAGAACCCCTTCAAATTTCACATTGTTCTGCATTATTTTTCTAAGAGAACCTCTTCTTTCTCAAACTTTTTCGTGTTCTTTGATTCTGGATTCTTTTCCTTTTTTTCTGCGTCTAAAAAAAGCAAACAATTTAACGAATGCGCTCGCATAAAACCTGTCCATGGCTCCATAACAGATAGGGTTAAGAGCATTTGGTATCCACGTGATAAAATACGCGTAGTCAAACAAAATAAAGGTATATTCCGATTCTGTTGCTACCTTGAAGTCCATCAATAGAAACATCACTTGGTATGGTAAATAACAAAGTACAAAAACAATCATGACGATAAACACCATGCGAATGAATTTTCTTTCCACGCGTGTGTTAGAAAGAAATATTTCTTGTCTGTGAGCTCCACCAGAGGATCCGGTTTTTCTGGTAGTGTGGTATACGCTTATCCTTCTGTTTTGTTTTGTCTTGCGTAGTAAAATAACCACCTTTGTGTACAGAATGCCCATGAGTATTATAGGCATAGCATAGTTTACAAGAAAAAGAAAAACCGAGTAGACATTTTGGTATCTTAAAGCAGGGAAGACTTCCACACACAAGTGTAAGTCACGACCATTCTTCATCGTGAGCGTCTCCAATCTCCGTGTTATATAAGCTGGTAATGAGCAAAGGATAGCCGAAAGCCAGATTATCACCAGCATCAACCATGTTACTGTCCCCTTTGGCTTGCCTTTGAAAGGATAAGCAGTGGAAACAAAGCGATCAATGGCAATAGCAGTGTGAACATTGGTAGTTACCATACCACACACCACTTGGGTTGGGTTCAAGATTTGACACAATAACTCGCCGAAGATCCAGTTGGAATGTAGTTGCTCTGTGGCTAGAGTAAACGGTAAACCAAGAGTACTGATCAAATCTCCTAAAGCGAGACAACTAATGAGAGAATAACTGAATGTTTGTAGGCGCTTGTTCCTCCACGGTGCGGTGAGCACCACGATATTGCCTATCAAAGCTGTTAGAAAAATAACCCCAAATAAAACCAGCCTCAGCACGGTAATAGGAAAGGGTTCCTTGATGAAACTTTTATGTTCTGGGCCAGCCAAACTCTTTGATGCGTTGAACAGAGACGAGTTTTCTAGACCATCCATCGCTGCACAAGTTAATATTCCTGTACACTAATGTGTTGAAGTTCATCTTGATCAAATTATAAGCATTGTTGAACTCTTAGACCCCTACAGTGTGAAAGAATTAGATTTCATGGCTTGATTAATGGTTCACAGCGAGTAAATAATGGTGCAGACGTTTCTTATGTATGTTTTTACTACTCAAACTGCGTGATATGAAGTAGTAATAAAAACACACTAAAACACCAAACGAAACTGATCCCTTTTTTTAGGAATTTTTGCGGTTATTTTAAGAAGGAGACCGGTCGCCCTTTTTTCGAGGAGTTCAACCATTTACGTCAACATTCCCTTCCACAAATTATAACGCATAATGATTTCATAATACACCTTTTGCTGTTCATTAACCGCAAAGGAATATTCATTCAAGCGAAAAAGCATTATCATTAGCGCGAAGAGGCACACAATAACGCGAACGGAGTTTCAAGAGCGCGATGGAACTTTCATTAAGGAATTTAGCA